ATAGGCTCTTGCTCATATGTTATTTCTTTAAATTCCTCTGTATCTGCCAATTCCTTTCTATATAATGACTCAGTATATTCCTTCCATCTTCTTTTAATACCATCAGGTATCTTAGGCTGTAAATTTTTGAGAGGAGACTCATGCTCATCTTTCTCCTGAGAAGCAGCAAGAGTATTTGAACCACTGACCTTTTCAGTAGCATGTAACATACTATGCCTTCAGATCTCTATACAGTCTGAATTACTGTTGTTCTTAGGGGCTGTCAAGTTGAGTATGACACACAGTGACCCTATGAACAACAGATCTGAACCCTGCCTATCCTGTGCCATCTTTATACTTTCTGGTACATTAGAGGCTGCTGCAGTAGTCAATTTACTTGGTTGAGGGTCTACCTCTCTTTTGCTGTCCCTCCACCTTTCCAAGCATCATTTCCCTCTCCAAGGAACAGGCCCTCCTAGTAACATGTCCAAAGTATGTAAGGCAAAGTACCATCATCTTTGACTCCAAAGAGCACTCTGGATGCACTTTCTCCAAGATGTATTTGCTTGTTCCTTTGGCAGCCCATGGGATATTTAGTACTCTTCTCCAGCACTACAGCTCAAAGGGATCAATTCTTCCTCTATCATAGTCTAGCTCTCAGAGGCACAGCAAGTGACTGGAAAGACCATGGTCTGAATGAGATGCACCTTAGTCCTCAAACTGACATCATTACTCCTCAATAATTTGGAAAGGTCACTGACTGCAGACTCTCAATGCAATATATCTCCTGATTTTTTTGACTGATGGTACCAAGGGTGTTGATTGTGGATCCAAGTAAGATAAAGTTTTGACAATTTCAATCTTTTCCTCTATCCATCTATCATGATGTTGCCTATAGGTCCAGTGAAAAGAATTTCTATTTTCTTGATGTTGAGATGCAATCCATATTGAAGTCTTTATTCTTTGGTCTTCTACAACAAGTGCTTCAAATCCTCTTGTCAGCGAGCAAGGTTATGTTATTGAAGAGTCTTCCTCCAATCCTGACGCCACATACCTCTTCATAAAGCCTAGCTTCTTGAATAATTTGTTCAGCATACAGACTGAGTGGGTATGGAGAGGAAATACAACTCCGATGCACTCCCTTCTCAATTTTAAACCACCCAGTGTTTCTTTTCTTTGTTTGTACAACAGCCTCCTGCTCTAGGTATAAGTTTTGCATGGGCACAGTTAAGTGCTCTGG